CGCGAGCTTATGAAAAACAGCCGAGAACCGCGCTATCAGTTTATTTGAATAGAATAACGTACACGGCAGAGCAGTCAATTACACAAGCAGTAACATTAAACAAATCTTGTCATTATAGAAAACTCTCTAAGACCGTCGATACATTGACGAACTCGCTCTTTAGTAGGGCATCTTCTTATATTTTCCTTCGAGTATGACCAGATTTTCGCTCATGTTCGTAGATCATTGATGGCTGTGCTTGGTTTCTGTGTTTGTAGACTGTTCTAAGCACCGTATGCTGTCGAAACCACTCTTGCATGGAGAGGTGCACTGCTTGGAATCGTTGCTTCACTAACAGGCAAAGTTAGCGTCGTTAGATTGCTATGTTAGTACATAATATCTTCTCGGAACCTAGCAGCAAGCCTTCACCACCAAGTGTCACATGGTCCCAATTTTTTACGAGCGACCCTGTCAAGTTTCTGGTGCGTTTGACAGTTGACAGCTGATGCTTTGGATCAAAACGTTTCACCTGGGGTGCCGTACCTGTCTAGCACCACTGCCAAACATGAAGAGTTTATAACATTGTCGTCACTTCAGGGACCGTATGCAACAAGCCCCGAGCTTTTCGAAGTTGGAAATGATGTCTGCAGGTCGCACTGATCTTGACTTTCCAGGCTCTGACGAAGGCGACCAAGCCGAAACGTTAGCCGAATAAAGTCTTGTATCATCTTGGCTTGTGGCTTCAGAAGCAATCTGATACGAATACCACACACGATGCCAAGATTCATCGAACGTCGAACCTCTGTGGAATTGGATGGAATTGTTAGAGCACGATGCGAAAAGTCTTTAAGTCTTGCACGAGAAAGTGGACTTCATGGACAAACGCAGACGGCTTTAATCTGGACAAAAGGGACTGACCACGCAGAACGAGAGGTTCGGTAGAACAGGACAAGAGGGAAACTACTGTGGAATGTAGTGGTGTTTTTGATTACAGCAAGTCTCGCAGACAACACTAGCACGACTTCACGCGAGAAGAATCACCGGGAAACTCGAGGAAGGAAGGTCTGTTAGTAGAGTGGCTCAGGAGTTGGTGTTGCTCACAGCATTGTTTTAATGCGCATGGGGAGAAATATGAATCACGGCCACTGCTGTCCATATAGGAGGGATGATGGACCGACAACAACCGCAACAGCAGGTGACTGCTACGCTTCGCAACAGACAAGAAAATTTGCTCTGAGAATTGATGTCTGCTGCTCACAGTATGCAGCGCCGCCTGACACTACACCAGTTCCGTACTCAAGGAAAGGATCCCACGTCGCCATGGCCTTTCAAGATGAGATGCATATTTCTGAATGGCTCCTGGGACGCTGAGGTTTTGAACATTCCCCCTGGAGCAACATCACAAGTCCAGCCCCTTGACGTCTACTTTTCCTGCCCTTTCAAAGCTATGCTCAAGCATTGTCAATTCACGCAGCGCCTTGAGACACACCAAAAGTTTTTCTTTCCATCATTTTGTTATAGGATATCATATGTGTTCTTTGAACGTTTCTAAATGATTTCAGCAATTCTCGTCTTGAATATAGTCTTCAGGCTTCTATCTTGATTATGTTCTCGGCTTCAGTGGTTCTCCGGCTAACAACAGATGATGCTTCCGGTCCTCCTTGAGCTGGAATTTTCGCATCGTTAAACCCTGTTTTCGCCTATTTAGCAATGAAAGGGGACTTGGCGCCCCCCGGTCAATAAAAAGGAGTCTAGAACTTCCCTATAGAAGATAAAAAAACAGCTACGCTGCAGAATTCCTTTTTTTCTGCCCCATTTTAATGTGAAGCTGGCATTCAGACTTCAACTTTGGCAAATTTGGAATTAAAATCAAATTCAAACTAACCAGTTGAATGCTACAAATTTGGTTTTTGTACCGTATTCCGTATCATAAAATGTACAGTGGAACCACCGAAATAATATAGAAATTCGCAGCACAGTAAAGGAATCTTTAAGGAGGATGATAGTGGTGGTTGGTATCCGCGACAGTGCCAGAGACAAGGAGGGAGGGCAAAATGTGGAGAGAGGGCGAAGAGTGTAGGGGCAAGAGAGGGGTTACGGGCAGCACTAGTTCGGCGATTGTCCAAGTCTGTCTACTTCTCTATACACAAAGTCTGTGGATGGTGATCACGATGTACACGCTGCCGCGTCGCGTAAAAGAGACTTAAAGCAGCAACCCCAGATTAGGTCATGTCGGAGAATTTGCTCTGCGGGTGGGAAGGGTAGCCAACGAAGAGATTCAGAGATGTGCCGTTTTCGCGGCTCGAAAGTGTACGCCAATGGCGCTAGCGCCTAAAAAAGTGATCCAATGGCGACTAGTGTGAGCTAACGGACGAATACCTCGCGCTCCCCTAAGGACGTGAATTACAACGTAAGGGCTAAGATAGCCGATAGGAAGGTAGATATGGTGGCCTCATCACACGGATGCGGTCGCGTTAACGGAATCGACGACTTTAGCGTTCTGCCTTATCGGCCCTTATCAATCGTTATCAGTTTCTGGCACCCACCAACAATGTCCCCGTCCCACCCCACATAACACTTGTAAGTATGGTTGCTCTGGTGTCAACGCGAGCCAGGTAACGGAATCGACGACTTTTGCGTTCTGCGCATCTTATCAGCCCTTATCAGCTATTCCAATCATGTACCACCAATGTCCCGGGACCGCCCCACATAACACTTGTAAGTATAGACGCTCTAGTACCAATATGAACGGCAAAACGAAATTGGCGATGCTCGCTTTCTAGCCCCTCTTATCAGCTATTATCAGTCGTTATCAGTTCCTATCACGTACCACTTGTGGGCAAGGCAAGGAATAGCCCTTGCCTCTTCAGACCTTTAGTCGTATGGAGTCGGTGAGTAGGTGAGGCCTCCTCTAGCCATCTTCCAACCGGCATACTGACGTCTCCGCCGCTTTCGAACTATCGCCGCCACTCGAATCCTTCCTGCCCTCGTCGCCATCTTCGTCTCCTGTATCCGCCCATGGAATCCTTAACACAATAAAGAACCGTTTCCAACACGAGAGAACCAACACAAATACCCCTAATTACCTGCACCTGGTTTCTCATGATTATTTGTATATTGGTTACAACTGATACAGTTTGTGCACATTTACTGTGCAAATTGAATACATAAATAAATAAACAAAAAAGTCAGGAATTCAGTTTTATGCGCTGTTGTCGTTGAAGCCAGTGGTTCATTTGTTGACATAGGCTCTGTCGCCGTCCAAGGCTCTGCTGTAGTGGACGTCGCATACGCTGTTCTCTTTGAAGTCAGTGGTTCAGTTGTATGCGCTGCTGTCGTTGAAGTTGGTGGTTCAGTTGTCGACGTGGAACTCTGTCGTCGTCCAAGGCTCTGTTGTATTAATCGTCGGTGTACGCTGTTCTCGTTGAAGTCAGTTGTTCAGTTGTATGCGTTGTTGTCGTTGAAGTTGGTGGTTCAGTTGCCCGACGTGGGGTTCTGTCGTCGTTCGAGGCTCTGTTGTAGTAGGCGTCGTATCATTTGCTCTCGTTGAAGTCAGTGGCTCAGTTGTCGTCGTGGGCTCTGTCGCCGTCCAAGGCCTCTGTTCGTATTAATCGTCGTATACGCTGTTGCCGTTGAAGGCAGTGGTTCAGTTGTATGCGCTGTTGTCGTTGAAGTCAGCGATTCGGTTGTTGACGTGGGCTCTGTCGTCGTCCAAGGCTCTGCTGTAGTAGACGTCGTATACGCTGCTGTCGTTGAAGTCAGAGATTCGGTTGTTGACGTGGGCTCTGTCGTCGTCCAAGGCTCTGTCGTATTAATCGTCGTATACGCTGTTGCCGTTGAAGGCAGTGGTTCAGTTGTATGCGCTGTTGTCGTTGAATGCAGAGATTCGGTGGCTGACGTGGGCTCTGTCGTCGTTGAAGGCTCTGCTGTAGTAGACGTCGTATACGCTGCTGTCGTTGAAGTCAGCGATTCGGTTGGTTGACGTGGGCTCTGTCGTCGTCCAAGGCTCTGTTGTATTAATCGTCGTATACGCTGTTGTCCGTTGAATTCAGAGATTCGGTTGTTGACGTGGGCTCTGTCGTCGTCCAAGGCTCTGTCGTATTAATCGTCGTATACGCTGTTGTCGTTGAAGTCAGAGATTCGGTTGTTGACGTGGGCTCTGTCGTCGTCCAAGGCTCTGTCGTATTAATCGTCGTATACGCTGTTGTCGTTGAAGTCAGCGATTCGGTTGTTGACGTGGGCTCTGTCGTCGTCCAAGGCTCTGCTGTAGTAGACGTCGTATACGCTGCTGTCGTTGAAGTCAGCGATTCGGTTGTTGACGTGGGCTCTGTCGTCGTCCAAGGCTCTGTTGTAGTAGACGTCGTATACGCTGTTGTCGTTGAATTCAGAGATTCGGTGGTTGACGTGGGCTCTGTCGTCGTCCAAGGCTCTGTCGTATTAATCGTCGTATACGCTGTTGCCGTTGAATTCAGAGATTCGGTGGTTGACGTGGGCTCTGTCGTCGTCCAAGGCTCTGTCGTATTAATCGTCGTATACGCTGTTGTCGTTGAAGTCAGCGATTCGGTTGTTGACGTGGGCTCTGTCGTCGTCCAAGGCTCTGTCGTATTAATCGTCGTATACGCTGTTGCCGTTGAAGTCAGCGATTCGGTTGTTGACGTGGGCTCTGTCGTCGTCCAAGGCTCTCTGTAGTAGACGTCGTATACGCTGCTGTCGTTGAATCAGTGATTCGGTTGTTGACGTTGGGCTCTGTCGTCGTCCAAGGCTCTGCTGTAGTAGACGTCGTATACGCTGCTGTCGTTGAAGTCAGCGATTCGGTTGTTGACGTGGGCTCTGTCGTCGTCCAAGGCTCTACTGTAGTAGACGTCGTATACTCTGTTGTCGTTGAAGTCAGCGATTCGGTTGTTGACGTGGGCTCTGTCGTCGTCCAAGGCTCTACTGTAGTAGACGTCGCATACTCTGTTGTCGTTGAAGTCAGCGATTCGGTTGTTGACGTGGGCTCTGTCGTCGTCCAAGGCTCTACTGTAGTAGACGTCGTATACGCTGTTGTCGTTGAAGTCAGCGATTCGGTTGTTGACGTGGGCTCTGTCGTCGTCCAAGGCTCTGCTGTAGTAGACGTCGTATACGCTGTTGTCGTTGAAGTCAGCGATTCGGTTGTTGACGTGGGCTCTGTCGTCGTCCAAGGCTCTGCTGTAGTAGACGTCGTATACGCTGTTGTCGTTGAAGTCAGCGATTCGGTTGTTGACGTGGGCTCTGTCGTCGTCCAAGGCTCTACTGTAGTAGACGTCGTATACGCTGTTGTCGTTGAAGTCAGCGATTCGGTTGTTGACGTGGGCTCTGTCGTCGTCCAAGGCTCTGCTGTAGTAGACGTCGTATACGCTGCTGTCGTTGAAGTCAGCGATTCGGTTGTTGACGTGGGCTCTGTCGTCGTCCAAGGCTCTACTGTAGTAGACGTCGTATACGCTGTTGTCGTTGAAGTCAGCGATTCGGTTGTTGACGTGGGCTCTGTCGTCGTCCAAGGCTCTGCTGTAGTAGACGTCGTATACGCTGCTGTCGTTGAAGTCAGCGATTCGGTTGTTGACGTGGGCTCTGTCGTCGTCCAAGGCTCTACTGTAGTAGACGTCGCATACTCTGTTGTCGTTGAAGTCAGCGATTCGGTTGTTGACGTGGGCTCTGTCGTCGTCCAAGGCTCTACTGTAGTAGACGTCGTATACGCTGCTGTCGTTGAAGTCAGCGATTCGGTTTGTTGACGTGGGCTCTGTCGTCGTCCAAGGCTCTACTGTAGTAGACGTCGCATACTCTGTTGTCGTTGAAGTCAGCGATTCGGCTTTGTTGACGTGGGCTCTGTCGTCGTCCAGGGCTCTACTGTAGTAGACGTCGTATACTCTGTTGTCGTTGAAGTCAGCGATTCGGTTGTTGACGTGGGCTCTGTCGTCGTCCAAGGCTCTACTGTAGTAGACGTCGTATACGCTGTTGTCGTTGAAGTCAGCGATTCGGTTGTTGACGTGGGCTCTGTCGTCGTCCAAGGCTCTGCTGTAGTAGACGTCGTATACGCTGTTGTCGTTGAAGTCAGCGATTCGGTTGTTGACGTGGGCTCTGTCGTCGTCCAAGGCTCTGCTGTAGTAGACGTCGTATACGCTGTGTTGTCGTTGAAGTCAGCGATTCGGTTGTTGACGTGGGCTCTGTCGTCGTCCAAGGCTCTACTGTAGTAGACGTCGTATACTCTGTTGTCGTTGAAGTCAGCGATTCGGTTGTTGACGTGGGCTCTGTCGTCGTCCAAGGCTCTACTGTAGTAGACGTCGTATACGCTGTTGTCGTTGAAGTCAGCGATTCGGTTGTTGACGTGGGCTCTGTCGTCGTCCAAGGCTCTGCTGTAGTAGACGTCGTATACTCTGTTGTCGTTGAAGTCAGCGATTCGGTTGTTGACGTGGGCTCTGTCGTCGTCCAGGGCTCTCCTGTAGAAGACGTTGTATACCCTGTTGTCGTTGAAGTCAGCAATTCGGCTGTTGACGTGGGCGCTGTCGTCGTCCAGGGCTCTCCTGTAGAAGACGTCGTATGTAAACCCTCTGTTGTCGTTTGAAGTCAGCGATTCGGCTTGTTGACGTGGGCTCTGTGTCGTCGTCCAAGGCTCTGCTGTAGTAGACGTCGTATACTCTGTTGTCGTTGAAGTCAGCGATTCGGTTGTTGACGTGGGCGCTGTCGTCGTCCAGGGCTCTCCTGTAGAAGACGTTGTATACCCTGTTGTCGTTGAAGTCAGCAATTCGGCTGTTGACGTGGGCGCTGTCGTCGTCCAGGGCTCTCCTGTAGAAGACGTTGTATACCCTGTTGTCGTTGAAGTCAGCGATTCGGCTGTTGACGTGGGCTCTGTCGTCGTCCAAGGCTCTCCTGTAGTAGACGTCGTATACCCTGTTGTCGTTGAAGTCAGCGATTCGGCTGTTGACGTGGGCTCTGTCGTCGTCCAAGGCTCTCCTGTAGTAGACGTCGTATACCCTGTTGTCGTTGAAGTCAGCGATTCGGTTGTGACGTGGGCGCTGTCGTCGTCCAGGGCTCTCCTGTAGAAGACGTCGTATACCCTGTTGTCGTTGAAGTCAGCGATTCGGCTGTTGACGTGGGCTCTGTCGTCGTCCAGGGCTCTCCTGTAGAAGACGTTGTAAACCCTGTTGTCGTTGAAGTCAGCGATTCGGCTGTTGACGTGGGCGCTGTCGTCGTCCAGGGCTCTCCTGTAGAAGACGTTGTAAACCCTGTTGTCGTTGAAGTCAGCGATTCGGCTGTTGACGTGGGCGCTGTCGTCGTCCAGGGCTCTCCTGTAGTAGACGTTGTATACCCTGTTGTCGTTGAAGTCAGCGATTCGGTTGTTGACGTGGGCTCTGTCGTCGTCCAAGGCTCTGCTGTAGTAGACGTCGTATACTCTGTTGTCGTTGAAGTCAGCGATTCGGTTGTTGACGTGGGCTCTGTCGTCGTCCAAGGCTCTGCTGTAGTAGACGTCGTATACGCTGTTGTCGTTGAAGTCAGCGATTCGGTGTTGACGTGGGCTCTGTCGTCGTCGAAGGCTCTGCTGTAGTAGACGTCGTATACGCTGCTGTCGTTGAAGTCAGCGATTCGGTGTTGACGTGGGCTCTGTCGTCGTCCAGGGCTCTGCTGTAGTAGACGTCGTATACGCTGTTGTCGTTGAAGTCAGCGATTCGGTTGTTGACGTGGGCTCTGTCGTCGTCCAAGGCTCTGCTGTAGTAGACGTCGTATACGCTGCTGTCGTTGAAGTCAGCGATTCGTTGTTGACGTGGGCTCTGTCGTCGTCCAAGGCTCTGCCGTAGTAGACGTCATCTGCGCTGTTGTCGTTGAAGTCAGCGGTTCAGATGAAAATGGTCCTTCCGTTTTCGTCCACATTGGTGATGTTATCGCAGCGGAGGTCGTAGATACTCTTTTCGTTGAAGTATTTGGTCTGGTTGTTGAAGCGTTGAGTGGTGATGCTGTAGAGATTTTCACTTTTATTGTGCTTGTTGATACTCTCATTGTGGAAGACTTTGATGTGCGTTGAGTATTTGAGGAAGTTTCACGTGTTCGCTATCGGTGTTAGTAGTAATTGGAGTAGGTATTGTGGCGGCGCTCGCCGGAAATGCGGTCCTTGGTGAAGGTATGGCTGTGGTGTGAGTAGCAGTTGTGGTTGCATTGCTTGAAGCAGTGGTATACAATCCCTCTGTTGTGTTTCCTGAAAGTCCAAGGGCTAATGAAGGTGCACTGTATGTTAATATGGACTGGTTCT